TTGAAAATACTCTACTATAGAGAGAGAATAATCCGCCAAACATGACTGACTGTCAGCTGTCACAGTGTCACAGGTGAAAGTAATGAATCAGTCAATAAAAATCACAGTCACAGCAGTGATCCGTTTAATGCAACAACTTAGTCGAGTCAAACCAAATTGTCATTCATCAGTCAGTGCTTAGTATACGGCCGAGGTGAGCAGCGTGTACCGTGCCATAAATTGAACTGGAAGAATCTTCCAGTCAGTTCAATGGCACGGTACTCTGTCTGAGCGATGCTCAGAGTGATTTTCAATGTGTGACAGTGACACCCACCTCTATGACCGATGCTAGCAAGCGCCGACCGAAGTCAGCTCCCCGTGCCATCACATGTCACAAGTCTGCCAGTGACACCTCCGCGTGGCTCAGAAAATTCCTTCCCACCGGGAATCACGAGCTTGGAGATGTGGGGCAATACTGTTGTGGAGTTTGGCAAGTTCAAGGGATCGCGAAATCAGCATCAATTGACAACATTAAATGAATGCGTGCACACAGGTTGGCTGCACACCAGGTCACCACTGCAAATCAAAACATGATTGGAACGTCAGTGCACAAGGTGGCGCATCAGTTCAGTGCAGACAGTGGAACATCAGAGCACACAGGCGGCACATAAGTTCACACGGCTGAACAGAACATCAGTCAGAGCACACAGGCGGCACATCAGTACACAAGGCGGAACATCAGTGCACAAAGTGGCACATGACTTAATTGACTGACTGACAGGCAGTGTATCAGCGCCCTTGACACCACTGAATTAAGCATCCACTGACTGACTGAAACTGAATGAACAAAAGATTTAAATTTTAAATGTAGCGATATGACTCATAAATGGAATCATGACAGCTGCACCTATTAATTAACATGAGTCATTGTTATTATAATAGTTCATTGGTTCTATTATTATTATCCTTCCAATGAATGCAACTGATTTGCATCACAGTCACACAGTCACAGCGAGATGAGATAGATTCGATTTGCCCCTCTCTGAAATGAACATACAACATCATATAAGAGTGATTGATATTTGTAATCATGAATGAATCGCAGAGTTTTGTCACATGATCTGATCTGTTATGCCTGCTTCAGTGACTGCCAGTCATTTGGCGTGCCCTCAGCTCTGACTTGGTGAGGCTAAGTGAGTCAGCCCATGGCACCAGGGCAGACATAACAAAGTATTCAAAAGCGGCAATTGGGCAATGGTTGTTGAAGCAAAGCAAGGCTAAATAAAAACCCAACGTAAAAAGGAACAGAACCAATTTCTGAGTTTCAACAAAGAATCAATACTGAACAGCTCAATTTCAAAACTGATGAGTTAATCAAATTGAGTGATTTGAAACCCATTGCCCCTGCCGGCAGTGACGACTGGAGCAAAGCATGACTTTCAAAGACGGGTCCGTTTGCTTCCACAGCATTTTTTATACTGCTCGATCCAGTCCATGGCAAAGGTGTCAGTGTCCCCAACAATATGAGCAAGTCTTCGCGAGAAGTACGGGCCACTGGATTGATTCAATGAATTGTCATCATCGCGAACTCTCATGAACCAGGTGGGCTTATCCCGCTGTCCTGGCCGTTCGTCAAATTTGATCTGGCCTGCAATGGCAACATTACACCGACGACACGGGACGTCAGTCCATTGGTTGATGGAATTTCGCGTATGGCAAGGCCAAGGTCGTTCTGCTGCAGCCTTGGGCGCTGCCTGACAAACGACTCAGTTAACTCAGTGAAGGGTCAATTCAATCCGAGTCCAACAATGGCAATTGATCCAAATTGAAACCAACCATTCACATTATCATCATGGCACTGACTGACTGACTCAAATCTGAATTGAAAATGGCCTGGGGAATAATTTTTAAGCTGCATCATTGTTTGATTGAAAAGTTTGCCAGGCCGGTCCCTGAATACATTGAAATTGTTAATTCCGAAACTAGCCATATATACTTATCAAAAATAACAAAAATCAATAAAACATATTAATATATTAATATAGGCGAGCACACCAGCAAGGAAAACGTAAATAATTACTGGACTGGAAACCTTGGCCTTGGGCACTACAAGATCCACGCCCGCCGCTGCTGCAGCGACTTCAGCAGGAGGTTCCAAATCAGGTACTGCAGGCTGGAGTGGCACTGGATTGGCAAGCTCAGATGCAGGTACCATCGGGTTTTCAACAGCTTCTGCTGGAACTGAATCAGTTTCCGATTCGATTGCGACAATGACTGTGTCAGTGTGCACTTCTTCAATTGGCTCAGTAGGACGAGAGCATGATGATGATGACGCAGCAAGAGTAGCTTGTTTCTTGGCTGGGCTTCTCCACTTCCACTCTCGCAACTTTGGCACTGGCACTGGTGACGGCGGAAGCGTCTGCAGACCTGCGTCCATGGCAGTGTCATCCGGGGGCACTTCAAAATCATCAGCAGACTTGTCCTCCGGACGGCGACGGTCACTGGCATCACCACTAGCAGCAGCATCATCATGCCCATGCACTCGCTCATCGCCACCAATAGTAGGTTCAGGCTCTTTGACTCTGGCCGCCTCAGCGGTTGAGATTAAAGTGACAATCAATGAATCAACACTTTATTAACTTACTAGTTACTAGTTGATTGTAAAAAAATAAGTCTATTTAATTTAAACTAACTGAATCAAAAATTGTCATCAGTAAGACTTAAGACGCCTACTAAACAAAAACTAACAGTTTACAAATCACAGTTAGTAGCATCTTCGATTGGAGCAATGGCTTGCCGCCTTCGTTTTCGGGAATTGAAGACTCCTCTGGCAGCTTGCCGGACAGGTTTTGCCATGGATTTTGCCTTGGCCTTTGCCTTGGCTTTGGCTTTTGACTTGGCTTTTGCCTTTGCTTTCGCTTTCCCCTTGGCCTCCTTTGCAACAATCATCAAGTTCCAGTCAGCTTTGACCTTTTTCTCAATGGCTTTTGCCACCTCATCGAAATCTCGACGCTCTTCAGCTGGGAGGTCCAGCAACACCAGTTCGTCCAATGCTCCACCAAACTCATTCTCGTCATCCTGGGCCTTCGCAGCGGCAGATGATTTATTCTGCTTCAGTGACTCATGCACTTGCTCAATGTAATCGGCATCACCATTTGAGGCGAAGTCAATGACACTTGCCAACAAATCTTTCTGTGGTAACTGTCGAAGTTGATCACGGTCGCCATGACACGGAGGCATGAAAAACTTTTCACTGATCGTCTCCAAATCAGTCCGGGAAAGTTGTTTGATTCGAGACGGTTCACGCAAAAAAACTTGAGTAGCGACTCTGACTCGTGCAACGGGCAATCCAGGATGACTTGTGAGTCATGAAATAGTAACTCGTAATTCATGACCACTTCCCAGGACTCCGGCTGTTCAAAAAAATGAAACTCAGCAGCTGCAGTGTCATCGTCTGCGTCCAAACAGAAGTAGACCCTGTCCGGACGACATGGGCCATGAACCTGTCTCAATGGCCACAGCAGTGCAGCCCAAACTTGATTCCCCAAGCAAAGTCCCAAAAATCCAGTGGATGTGTTCCGCAAGATTGTCATGGAAATGGCCATTTGACCAAACTTTCCATAGGCCAGCCTGACCTGAATGCGAGCCAATTTGTTTTTGAAGTAGTACCTGAAAAATTGCCACGCAGCAGCGCCCTTTTGAATCATGCCATCATTGACTGTTCGCCAAGTCTTTCTCTTCAAGATGCCGCCCCATTCTTCAGACAGCTTGTGAACCGAGGCAAGGTATCGCCTTGAAGTGATGCCAATTAAATTATTCAAATTGATTAATTATCTATTTATTAATATCTGTCTGGCTTGAAAAGGACAAAATGCGATTTATAAAAACAACTGTGTCTGTGAGTCCAATCAATCTTAATTTAAATAAACATTGCAATTTAAGACCAGTCACCTTTTCCTGGTGTTGCCGGAAGCTGCGCGATAATCCCGCACAAACGAATCCTTGGTGACTTTGGCTTTGTTGTCAATATTGCGTGAGTCAAAGACGTTGCTGCGTGTCAGTGTGTGTTGCATCATACTGTATGTCATCCGCCTGTTTTTGAACTTTTTGTTTGCCAGCCTCAAAACTCCATGTGCGTCCTCTACAATTTTGGAATCAGGTAGGACCTTCAAAAGCCCTTTCAGCACATGCAAGCCTCCTGGGGAATTTCTGTGAAATGAATTCTCCTCGAACGCCAAGAAAAGTAAGCGGATGCATGGACTAATCAAAATTGACAAGTCCTCAAGCAACTCGACCTTAACCTTCCTTTGCGCCATCAAAGCTGCTTCTTCTTCCAAGCGAAGTAGCCATTCAAAGTCTTGGTGTAGCATTGCCACCGCTTCCTGTGAAATGAACTCCGAACTTAGTGGTGATGAAAAAAAACAGTTGCATTCATTAGTCTTTGGCTAAATGACTGTGACTGTGATTCAGCATCAGTTTGTCATTAATAATTAACTGATTTGATATCAATGATGACTGTGACACAAGCATGGCTGGCCTGAGCTTCGGCGACTGAGCCACCCAAGATTGCAGAATAACAGTCCGGAGGGGCAGTATACTGCTTGGCAAATGACCAGGCCCGGCGCTTCAACAAGTTGGAGACAAGCTTGAACAATTTGTCACCTGAGTCTTTGAATCTCGAAAGTTCTGGGTCTTCAAATAAACTGACAACTTCTGGGCTGCGCGCTGTCAGCACTGCCGCAGTTTGAACCAAGTGATTGTCTGACGCCCATGACTTCTGAAGTTCTGTGGTTTGCTTCACTGTGTCTTCAGCAGATTTCACTGACTTGACTGTGTCCGCATACCAAGTCCAAGTTGGCCTGGTTGCTGCAGCAATGAGTCGCACAGTGTGGAGCAGCCGGTCACTCATGAGATAGTATGCCAACTTCAATCCACCGCCAAGGTTTTGCTTCAATCGGCTGAACTCAGACCTCAAATTTTCTTTTGTACCAGCCGACTTCTGTGTCGCTTTGACTCCAATCTTCAACTCTCGATTGTAAACAGCATCATTGGGGTCAAGTTTGTCTGCCGCAGGGCCCAGCCAGTGTTTCAGTACCATCCTCAACACTCTGAATTCAGGGACCTGTTCTTCACAACTTTGATTCCATGAAAACCACCGTGACAATTTTGGAAGCGTTCCTTTTGTGTTAAAACCTGGAAGCTCGCAGATTGCGGCAAAAACCTCTTGCGGCGATGTGTGCTCAGGAAGTCCCAAGTCCAATTTGAAGAGCTGCAGCTGTTCGATAAACGGTCCGTAGTCTTCGGTTTGCAAAGCCATAAAATGATCCATCATCCGTTTCTTTTCCTCCATGAAACCTCCACTTCCAAAAGGACGGTATTGAAGAGCCCACAAATACGTCGAATGCATTTGAGCGGACAAAAAAAGGCTTCCTGAATCTGCCAGAGCGCCCTTGACATCATTGACTGCCCTGTGAAAAATGTCCCACCGGACATGAATCAAACGCCCCAATTTGTGAATGGCAAACCTCAATCACGCATCTTGGAGAATCATGACACACTGATGGACAATCATCTCACACATTCACAATTCATAATAAATGAATCAAATCACAATGAATCCGGAGAATTATTCATTTTAATGAAAAAGGGGTCATGGCACTGTCGAGGCGCAAAGATAATAATGACAAGGTTTACCCAAAAAAAAACTTTAATCAAGTGCCACTGAACAAATTCAAGTCCAGGTCACGCACTTCCTGCACAGCCTGGGCTCCCTTGATCCATTTGCAACACCAACATTGGGACAGTGGACCACCAGTTCGCTGAGCCAGGAATGCACATTTGCACTTGCGGTTCAGGGACCTGAGCCTCCTCAGAATCACCAACCATGAGGAACTGTTGCTTTTGCTCAAAACCTGCTTGCAGCTTGCGGCCCTCATTTGACATAAAGACAACCCTTTCTTCATTGGGCTGAATCTGTCGGAGGATGAGTCCTTCAGGAGGTTTGAAAAAATCCAGGCTTGGAACCCGGCCCTTTGTTGCCAGGTTCAGACGAAGAGAAGATAGTCTCACAAGTCTGCGCTCCTGGCATGGGTCGTCAAATGGCTGGCCACTGGCATTGTAAAATAACAATTTTCTCAAGGTCAGCTCAACAATTAGTGATGATAAGTAGTAACTATTGATTTAGAATTCATTCTCTTGAGTCAACCTCTCCTTGGCCAGGGCCTCGACTAACGATTCCAAATTCCATTCATCTGGGACAATTTCTTTGCCAGGCAAGGTCATTTGCAAATTGGCAAAAAATGCAGTCGCATTTTCGTGCGTCCAAAGCAACGAGACCAGAATATTCTTGCCACCAGCCTGTGTTGAAGCATCGCTGACCATGTTGAAGTGATATGCACCAACCAAACTCAGATTCACTTGATCATCATGCATTTGGGCGACCTTACGGATCCAGAAGTCGATGCTGCTCTCTGACGAACCACCACTGTTTGACAGCCTGGGATTCTTTTGAACTTTCAGAGAGTCTCTAGCTGAGACACCACTATCATCAGCATTCAATGTCTCCCAAATTGCATCCAATGACATGCTGGTCCGTTTTGTGCCATCTTGCCTTCTGAAATGTCTTGCCGGCGCAGCTCGGTCTGTGTCATGAGTCTGCTGGTAAACGCGCAAAGACACTTCAAGTCGGTTTGACAAAAAAACAATCAATGATCGGACCATTGCTGTCAATGCTTGTCCAGTTGGTCGCTGTGGGGACCATGTTTTTGTAGCATGGGCCCGCTTGAAATTGTCTGCCTGTAATACAAACATTGTCAAGTCTCTCAGAGAAACTTCAGCTTCGAGTTCAGACCAAAGAATGTCATTTTCATGCATTGACTTCCAAACAGTCTTCCAAGCATCAGCACTTGTAGAATGAAGATTCGACAACTTGTCCAACAGGCCAATGATACGGCCACCTCGGCTAACAGAAATACGGCCTGTCAAAGGCGGCGTCATCTCCAAAAATGATTCGTTCACACCAACCAAGTCCAGGAAATCCTGAACATCCACACTGACAGCCCGTTCGCACAGTTTTTCAACCCTCTTGATGACATGCGTTTGCATGTCCTTATTTCTACCACCAGTTGCAGATGCCTTGGAATAAAGAAAGAAAAATGACAACAGTGCCTTTGTCGACGCCATTGAATCTTGGTCACTGGCATCAGTTCGCAATCTGAAATCAACACCAGAATCGAAAGAAGGCCACAAGCCACTATTAATGACTGTATCTCGAAGGCTTTTGCACCACTTGTTCAGTTTGCGCTGTTCACCTAAGTTTACAAATTGGTCATAGCAGTACTTGAGAGTCCAGAGTACAATTGTTTGACCATCATCATTGGTCAATACCTGGCAACTCTTGGACAAAAAAATGCCATCCTCGTTGTCTAATGTGAGGTTAGCCAGTCCTGGATTGTTCACCAATGGCAGGACAGGGGTTCCTGGAGCTTGGGCTAAGAATGCATCGTCCGCAGGCACTTCCCGGTCATCCTCCATACTGACTGCTGACACTGACTGTCCTGAGATGTGAGGTCAGTCAGTCAGTCCGCATACACAGTCATAGCATTGTTGTCGAGATGTACAATGTATGTAACAGCTGCAAAGGCTGTAATATAATAATAGAATGCAAATCAAAACAAAACAAAATAAGAATTTAATCCTGTGATGATAAACATTTGAATAATTGACAGGTCAAAGTTAAGAGTCAGGCTGCAGGCAGTCAATGTCAGGCAGCCACAGCCAGTCAGGGCCAATATTCAGCAACGAAAACAACAAGTGATAGCGGACTATTATGCCAGACAATCCGGCAATCAAGTCACAGGTGATCACTTGAAGGCTTCTTTTGATTTTGGCTGACAGCTTGACTTAGTTGAGCACAGCTGAATTCCGAATGAATAATCAATCAACTAAATAAGAGCTGAGTCAGTGAAAGGAATTTGATCTGATCTCAGTGACACTGACGTTGTTGTCAACGAAGCATTCACAATTTAAAATGTAGTCATTGTTTCGAGTTCAGATTCAGTGATAAATATTAATTAATATTGTAATCAGAACTGTTTCAAGATCAGAATCTCTAAAAGTTGTTGTTTCCAGTGTTGCTGTACTGTAAGGCCGATCAGACATATCGTCTCAAATCAAAATAACAATAAGTCTTTGAGCCAAGTCAATTCCACACATTCATTCAAAGCAAGCAGAAAAAAAACATTTGACATTTGACAGTGCCATTGAATTGTCAGTTCACGAAATACATACCAAAGCTTCTGGCAAATGACAGTGACAGACCTGCCTGACCCAGATTGATAAGAATCAACAGTATTATATTATAATAAGTGCAGTGGCCGCATATGATTTGTTCATTGTGCTGGATCTGAGATGTCTGATTGATTCCAATCCATCAGTGACAGCGAGTCAGCAGCTAAAGTTCCACCTCAGAACACATGGCATGTATGATACTGGTGTATCAAATCATGTCAAACTGATATCACTGATAGCCTAGCGTCAAACTAAAACTGTTCAGTGATTCAGTAATGAATGCAATGTCAATTCATTTCCAGTCAGTCGGTCTAACTACTATGGACCCTGCAAATTGTTGACTGACTCTGTGAACTGACCTGTACGTCATCGCAAACTTCACTTGAGCTCGTCGTTGGAAAGTGAAATTGACACTTGAAATGATGCAAGGCAGGCACTTCTTGTTGCAATACACACACAAGCCAAATATATATAATTTAATTAACAATAATTGCTTGGCAGTGACAATTCAGAAACTTGCTCTGACTGAGAATGAGAGCACTGGCAACTATGTTTTAATGACACAGCTCAGCGTCAAATTGAGGTGCATCACAGACTGTTGAGTCGCTCAGCACATAAGTTTTGATCGATGCATGGTGCATCGCTCCACAAAAAAGGGAGATCAGCACACACATTAAATCATTAATTAATTGCCAAGCTGACCAGTATTAATTAAAGCTGTAATAGCGAATCAATCAATCAATGAATGACAGTGAGTGAGCAATGTAAAATCAGTGAGCACCGTTTTACTGATAATAATGCATGGATCAGAATTTTCACTTCAGACTTCTCGCTAACACAGACTGAGTCAGCCAAAAAAAGCAGAGATGACAGCTTCACCAAATTCTCTGGTGTAAGCTTGGCTTTGTGTGAGTTGCTGTTTTTGCCCTGTGAATGATCCAGAATCATTGAGTGACCAATGAGGAATCATCAGAAGGTGCCAAAAAAGACGGTTTCGAGCGAATCAATGAATGAATCCTGGCCGATGGACTCAGAATCTGCAGTGGCTTCACTGTCTCTGCACCGAAAGATCCATGGTATGTTGTGACTCTGTAGGTCTCGCAGAATGTCAAAACAGCATTCACCACTGAGTACAGCGGCATGCAGGAGTTCAGTGGTTGCTCAAGTGCTGGAATGTTACCCATGAGGGCAGTGAGCAAGTAAAGCAAAGCACTCACAGCGGCAAGCCCATTTCCAATCTGTACAAATGCACGATTTGTATCACCTTCGTAGCCGTTTGACTCTTGCCGCAAACTCTGAGCACGGCACAACACTGTGAAACTCGAACACACAGTGCCAAACCATGTCAATGAAAGAGGCTTTGTCCCTGCCAAGGCTGCTAAAAAAAGCCGCAAGCCGCGTCTTGACAACGCATCATGTTCTGAGGTGTAAATGTAGTCAAAGCTTCTGCCTTCAAGACCAAATCTAATCCCCGATTTGGACAGTTCAGCTTGACCTGAGAAATACTCGATGTAATCAAGGGAACAAGTTCCCATATGCCGGTTGTGCAAGGTTCGGCAAACTAGAGCGAACAACATGTCATGAATTTGCATCCATTCCATCCAAGGAAACGTTAGCTGAAGCATAGGTTTCCACGACTTTGCACATTGTGAATCAAAATACAGTGCATCATAGAGCAAGAACTTTTTGATCTGATCGTTCAGCCATGCCAAGTGTTTGGCACATATCCTTTTCGAATCATGAATAGTTGGAAACTTATCCCAAGCACAAATCTCAGGACTGCTCAAATCAGTGGCAGCACTCCACTGATCGAACAATTGATTGATCTTGTTGTCACTGTGTGCACACTGCCTGCCATCTGTGGTCCATGCACATCTGCTCCTTGAGCGCTGTCGTACTGCCATGGCTGACTGGGTCAATGTGCGGATGGCTTTGGTAAGTACAATGTTACACGTATCAATCAATCACAATCTTGTTTATAATCGATTCGCTTGTCTCCAAGATACATATATGCATGCAATTATTTGTGTGCTTCAGCTTTGAGTCTGCAAACAAGAATAA